TTTGGGAGGGGTGCCTAAGTTGATTACATATTATCAAATGGAATAATTCAATGTATACGACAGCGCCATAGCTAAGTGTGTTAGGTCTAAAGGTGTGTTTTGCTCCGCTCACCGGTCCCTCACAACGGGCAGAGCTGCAGCTGCTGATCTCTCTCTCGTGTCCGGTTATACTTCACACGCGTTTATGTCCAAATCCATCAAAAAAGTTATGTTTTAAGCATGAAAGCTGTAGGCCTATAGCTGTCAACTGTTCAAACTGTGGTCACCAGTTGGTGTCTATACTTATTTGAACATGTATTTATTTATTTTTCAAAATTCAAAATTATTATTATTTAAAAAAAACGTTTTCCCACAATTTTTTTTTGTATAGGATCCTATTGCATGAATGTTAACTAAATGAATGTTTGGAGGATTACAAGTTAGGAAATTGGTGGGTTAAGCCTTTTACTACATCATAGATTTTGGGGAAATAAAGCATCTCCGTCGCTTTATTCCATCATTTTAGAAATGAATGTTGCCCAAGCTATTACCCTGTACCCCATTTGGTAGTAGATCCATTTCCTTTGATTAGCGGATGTTTGGAGATATTAGTCTGTAGCTTACCACAAACAATAGTGCTCTGCCAAAATAATTTGAAGTACCAAAAGGGGTGAGATGCGAGCTACAAAATGGGTCTGGATGGAAACAATAGATGTTTTGCATAGTTTGTTGTAGGATAAATAAGGGTTACTGTCTCTGCTGTGTATCTTTTATAGTGTGTACTCTCATCTCTCTTTTTAGAGATAACTGTTACTGGTTCAGCTGGAGTATCAGATTCACCATCAGAAGTTGCTGTATGTGTTGGGTAAAGGCGGTATTTGGGGTATAGTCTGCAGAGTGTCTGGCTGGACTTGTTTTTCAGGCAGATTGAACAACAGCTTCTCTCATTCCTCTGCTGTGGGCGTTTGGCCTGGCCAGCTAAAAGGCACTAGTAGCAGCTGGACAGGACATACTCTGTACTCCATAGATGACCACGGAAATATGGCTGGAGAGGAGGGGAGACAGAAGAGGGGGAGAAAGACAGACAGACAAGGTGACAGAAGACACAAAGCTGTGGCCCGGCAGTCTTTTTAAAAAACGATTTTCATGTCCCTTAAGATTGTAGGCTGATTGTAAATGCACATGGGATGGTATTAGACCTCAGCCAGTTTACATCATAAAACAAACTTAATGAAGATGGCCTTCTGCTATGCATCATCCTAAATCTAAATATGTAGGGTTTATAGGTTGCATTATAAAGGGTATGCACTTAACATCATGGAAGTTATTGCAGTTACGCCAACTGAATGGCAGTGCTAGCTGTTGCCATTTTTCTACTTGTTAAGTTCAGTTAAATGTTCAAATATAACATGGTTTATCATTCATTTACCAAAAGTACACAATTCAGATCCATTATAACTCTCTATGTTCAAAGAACAAAACAAAAGTAGTTTGCTTTTCACGTTTTCAGCACACGTAAAACATGCTAACAATATTAGTTTTTGTTTTTTAGCTTTTAAGGTTATTTACATTTGGTGTAAATACTTGTATTTAGCATCCTTTTTTTAATGCTAAATTGTTTCTTAAAAATACTTATTTTCTATTACCCTTATATTATATATATATTTTTTCTTATTACCTACTTTGCAACTTGTTTTTTTAGATTGATATGTTTGCACCACCAAAACCAAATACCAATACCAAAGCCAATTCCTTGTATGTGTAAACGCACCTGGCAATGAACTTGATTCTGATCCTGATTCTGATTTGACCTTGTAAATTAGCCTAGTGGCTAGCAAATGTAGAATCCATGGATCCTCTAGCCATTTGTTAAATTGAATGCTACTTACTGCTAACTACCGTTGTTATTTGAAAATATAATAGTTTTTCAATCCTGTTTTTGCAGTTTCCCATACTATAACTGCAGCCATGTTGCAGGTTTTCAGTCTGACTAAATGGGCGTGCACATGTGGGAAAGTAATGTCTGCAAATAGCTTTAACGGATTTCTAGATGTATCATAGTGAAACATCTGTATGTCTTTATCGCTCATAATTGAGTCATATGCTGTGAAAGATGTGTGCGAGTGTCTTAGATCTTGAGTCAACGTAAAAGGCTCAGTTGAAAGTAATAATTGATTGCAAATGAGTATTTGACAACATTATATCAATATAAAAAAAATAAAAGTCTGAAGCCCCTAACCCTACTGGCTGGGGATTCAGCCGGCTAAAGTAACTGGATGGCCTACCTGCCTGTCAGCGTTCCATCTGTGCACAAACTTATCTCGTGCCCTCATTGGTCATGTGCACGTTCGTGTGTGTTGGAGGAGGGGCTCTGGAAGGAAGTCTGAAGGAAGAGGCAGATTTTTTCCGGTTGTGTACTTTCAAATTCTGGCGCACTCGAGCTGGTTTCTCCATTCTTACCTACCCTACCTTTAACTCCCACGTGCCTTATTTTTCAATTTAAAAAGTCCGATCATTGCCCAATGTGTAATCTTTTGGCAGTCTCCGAGAAAGAACTACATTTTTCTTTCTTTGTTTGTCTGGCAGTTGTTTGTTATTCTCCGTGTGTGAGGGGAAAAAGTGAGTTGGTGTGCCCTCATACGTGTTTGTGGGAGTGAGACTTGATGACATGGTTAGGCTTCGGTCCTTTGGGAGGAAGAGGGAGGGGGGAGTTAAGCGGGGGGTTGAGAAATTGATGCACCGCAGGTTTTTGCCATTAGGCCTTGTCCTTTTATCACTACGGAAAGACCTTGCCATGTTTTTAATATATGTATGCTCCCAATAAGAGTTTCTGAGATGATCTATCTGCGCTTTGAGGATTCACAAGCTGCTAGAGACAGCACAAAGGCCAGGTTGAAACATCTGTCAAGGGCTTGGGATTTGTCTCAGGAGACAAATAAGGTAACAATAAAGCCTCTGTATTTTTTCTCTCAATACGGAGGGGGAGCTATGCCATACATAATCTATGGCTTTATGCTGATGTAACATAGGCTTATTGGATAGCACGAAAGAGAAAACAATAGCTATGTGTTCTGAGCAACAACAAAACAGTTTCCCCCCTTAGTGTACCCCACTGTTGAGGCACGGTCTTTTTGGAGTCAGTCAGGGGAGAATTTAACATTGTTATCTAACTGTCTTTCACTGAGACTTTAATGATTTCCAAATGTTCCATCTGATTGCTATTGGCAAAGGTTGCATGTTTAGCGTTATGTGTTGGAAATGTGAGCAGGCCTTGGCTGGCACAAGGCTTTGGGGTAAAACGCAAAGTCTGACCCCATGAAAAAACCTGGCCGCATAGTATACATGACTCTAATGGAAAAGAGCTGCCTCACACAAACCTCAGCGCTGTGTTTTTGTGCCACCCTCACTGACTGACTGAGTGTGTGTGTATGCTTGTAGATGTGCAAGATACACCCTGAATGTGTTTGGGGGGGCCACACATGTAAAAGGAAGTTTACCTTGTAGGAACATCTCAGGCTGTGGTAAAGCTTGTTAACCCCCTTACAGATTGTGGTTAAAAAAGGAAGTCTCAATATCATGCAAGAGCAAATGTGAAAGCTTGGTGCGATCCTGTAAACGTCAGTGAATCTTTGTTTAAGTCAAGTAGCCCGTTCACAGTTCACTGAACTGCTCATTACAGCTCACTGTGCTGCAGACAAAACACTGACAGGGACTGAGCTTCAGCGTCCGTACCTGCCGAGTGCTTGACTGGGATCAGTGACGGATGTTCGTAGTCGTGGCTGCTGTCATGACTGGAATCAGAACACCAATAGAGATTACGTAAGGGATAATGTGCAGCGGAAAAGAACACCGACAGGCTGATCAGGAGCCCGACGCCAAGCGGAGGGATCTAGATCTGCATGCAGTTTGCTTTTCGGCCAAACTGTATACAGTTAAATCGAACGGACTTCTTTGTGCAGATGTGAGCGTCCTTAACACCGGTCAATACATCCTTGACAGCAGTCTGTCTGTTCTGGATTAACAACGTGTCACATGTTCTGAATTGACCAATCAGAATCGAATATTCAACTAAACCATGTAATAATAAAAGTGAGATAATGCGTTTTGGCTTTTAATGGAATGACATCGCTAAGGGAGGCGTGTGGTGCAGTGAACTAGTGCGTTGGTGTTCGAATCAGGGGAGCACAGGTTCAAACCCCACTGCAGTCAGTATGTCGTTGTGTCCCTGAGACACTTCACCCCAAAGTGCTCCTTTGGAGATTGCCCACAGTATTGAGTATGTAAGTCGCTTTAGATAAAAGCGTCTGACAAGTAACATGTAATGTAATGCTTATAAAAATAACTCATAACTGAACAGTTTGATATGACTGAATCAGATACAATAACCGAAACAATTGAGAGGTCAAGGTTTCTAGTATAACATGTTTCTTTTCCAATTGTATAAGTTTTAAAAACAAGTGTAATTTTAGGTTATACAGGAGTCTTTTTACACCGGTAGGATTTAGCGGGATTTTCACTGGTGTATAATCAGCTGAAACTCAGAACTGTTGAGTTTTCATTCACTTCGAAAGAACCCATCATATCATCGTCGGTAGCGAATCTGCTTCCACTGAACCTGCCAATGAAGCATTTGAAGGTGGATTATGGGAATTATAATTGGAATCTTGAAGTGTGTTGATTATCTGTCTTTCAAGTTCCTCAGCTTACAGGTGGTCAGCCTGACAAATGCTTAAATGAGAATTCAATGTTATGTATTCCAATGAGACTACAATAATGCATCAATAGGGATGATGTTTTGAATGGTTCATTTATCAGAAAGATTAATGTGATGTATTTTCAAGTTGTTGGAAATAAAACTGTTTTCTTAAGTAAAGTCATTATGACCATTGGGACATTAGTCTGTACACTAAGAGTTCATGCATGATTTACATAAATACGTCAGCACCATGTGAGACATGCAATTGAAATCCCTTCACATACTGTAGCATTTCATTCATACAGTATTCTTGTGTTGGCTGCAGGGCCAGTGTTTCGCAGCCCGTGTGAGTTGCTGCCGGTGGGGATGGGACACCCAGTGCAGGCCACACTGAAGAGCTACACCGCCCTGTCAGGCTGTGCAAGCAGAGGCACCACCAGCCTGCCCCAGGAGGTCCACATCATCAACCTGAGAGGACATGTTCCACAGGGACCAGACAGCAACCCCGCTGAAGTGAGTCATTCTTAGGAGAAGTTCAAATGTAGCTATATTGTCTACCAACATCATTGTCTCTTCAATACAGTCAGTCAAGATTAGACTTGAATCAAAAAGTGTTAATAGTGAGGCATTTAACAATTCTCTTCACCCATATATACTGTACCTTCATTATAGGCAGACAGTTGTGTTTTGTTTCTCAACATTGACACTATTCCACGCAGTCTTATCTTCTGGGTAATATTGTTCAGCCGGATAAAGAGTGCAAGATCTGCTGCATATTTCCACCGCCCTTGTTGGCTCTATTTTTAACCAGTGACTCTGATAATGGCTGCCAGTCCTATTCCCTTTTGTTTTTCGAGAAAGCTTCTTGGCAAAAAAAGAGTTAGTAAAAAACATGTTCACACTAGAGTGGCACCGTGAAGTTCATCCACACGAATCCACTGGAAGCTTGTTAAAGGCGGATTACAGCTAGTTGGTAAAAGTCTCTTTTTGGTGCGGTATGGTAACACGCTTGTTAGGTGGGATAATCATTTTGTTTTTGAAACAGTTTAAACTCAGACAGATCAGGGTTAAAAAAGTGAATGGTGCAACAAAGCAAATAAGCTTTGATGGCCTCAAACTATTTATAATCTCTGTTTCATTAAGACAGCTGTCTAATGGTTAATGGTCAACATGTTGAATTTGACAAACAAACCTATATGGTAATTAACCTGATTCTGATGTTGAGATTGGCTAACCTAATCTAACCCTTGACTTTCTAAAGAGTAAAAAGTAACACAATAATGAGTCGGTCACTTAAATGTCTGTACAGAGATATTTTCCAACCCCTTGGACCAGCTAATCTCTTTAGTGCACTGATTTAAACTGGCAGCACTTCTTCTGAGTTCCAAATGGTGTCAGTTTTAAAAACCACTCCCTGTCTCCAGGTGATGTCTCATAGCAGGACTCCTCACAGTTGAAGGTGAATCATAGGCCCACAGCCTCCTAAACGCTGTATCTGGAGTTTGAACTGTCCCACGTTCCCCTCCCCCTCAGTCACAGCAGTGTGAAACGCAGCATGTATAGACTTGCCATTGCTGCTGATGTAGGCTTAAGACGTTGCCAAGGCCAAATACACAGAAAACCGGTATGTGTGTGTGAGTATGCTGCATCAGCACGTACATACAGAATGTACTCTGAGTGTTTGTTCTGAAGCTTTACCACATGAACTCAAATGATAGAGTTCTGTTTTCATAACAATGAGAAGCATTTGTCTTTTGTTGTGATCTGTCATGTTTACTCCACACAATGTAATGTCGACATTTGACGGATGTTTATAAAAATCTTGAAATATGTCGAGCTGGGAAGGAGCATTGACAATGCAACAAGCATAAGATGCATTACAAAAAATTGCCCAGCTTGATACATTTTTGAAACCTGTTTATTACTTTACAGACAAGCAGTGTAGTCCAGAGGATACAATCATTATTTATTAAATGAAAGTATGATACTCAGATTTTGCATGCAATGTGAAACAAATACTTCTTAACAAATTTGCAACAAACATACACTCAAAAGTCTAACTTTTATAAGTAACTATTAACAGGATACTTTTCCTTTTAATTTGGGCCATGCTATTTTTATTGCAGAAAGAAAAATGTCTCAGTGTTTTTCAGTGTTTTTCAGCCCTTGTACTGTAGGTATGGCAACGCAGCATGTTTTTCTGCCCCTCTGACTTTACTACATGCAGACTCCTGCCAAGTAAGATGGTTGTGTTGAGTTTCATCTCCACTTGTGTCAAGGTAGATTATGATTCAACACAGATAGATTTGTAGTGAAAACAAACTGAATTGATATTTATTTTCGACCAAGTGGCCGTTTATAGGACAGATAAGTGCAAGGCAGAGTGTACAGTAAAGACTTTTGCTATTATTTACAAGGATTTTCTTTCTCAAGTTTTTTAACTTGTGCCAACAATGAAACTTCGGAAAGTCAAAACATTTCAACCATATTTATGCTGCTGTTGAAGCTGTCACAACCCTTGAGGCCGACCGTCTAAATCTTATTTCCACTTGCTCTCAAGAGACCCTGCTGCAACTGACAAGGTATTTCTCAAGTCTTCTACAGAGATCATTTATTCAAATTAAAAGCAGACAGATAAGTACAATTAAAGAAATGCGGACACTGGCAACACAATTTCATTTTTGTCTTATGGCATTTCTTTTACATAATTAGTTTTATTTATTAAGAGAGGTATAGCGTAATTAGCTCTGTAAATGACTACTCGGAGCCTAAATGTAATAGATAGTCCAGTAAAACTTCAGTTTGAAGGTCTGTGAAAAGCATCTCTTCATGTCAACTTATCCAGCTGTTAGTAACCCATCAGCTTAATGGTCAAGTGAGGACTTTAGCGGAGGAGGCAGATTTCCAGCTGTCCGTTCCCCTGCCTACAGCCTTGGCTGCAGAAGGTCACTTCAGCTCTGATTGAGATTACGTTGCCCAGCAGAAACTTTTTCCATGAGCTTGTGATAAGATAAGATCAACCCCCTCTCCCACTCTGGTCCTTGATTGCATTTCCACCTGGGTCTTGGGCACAAGAAGCCTTCCTAAGGGCTTAGCCTTCAACAAGACTGAGTTGGAGGGCACACAGTGCGTCACGCTGTGGTCCCATTGACACAATCTGCCCCTCATCTGTGATCTCTGGTGACAGGAGGAGGTGATGAAACAGGGGGGAAAGGGAATGACAAACTGAGCCATCCTTGGCTACATTTGGGCAACTTGCTGAAGCAAAATAGAGTAAAGTTGGAAGTAAGGAGGTTGATGTCGTTCATGGGAACGTTCCTTGGAATTATTTCCTAAAAGCAAACCATTAAACTGCATGGCCACTAATCGTACAACGTCATTCCAATGAGAATGAGTTTTATATATCAAGCTCCCTGATCTTCTTTGTGTAAGTCACAGAGATACATGTTTTTCTTTAATTTAAGGCTGATCTAGTGATCTGATTTGGAAGCGTCCAAATTGATTTCACTCTTAGTAAAGGGTCTTTTTCCCTGTTTGCTTTTCTCATGCATATCCTTTGCTTATTTTCAAAGTCAGCACAGGGGTGCTGGTCAGTCTGTGAGCAAGTCATTTTTCTCTGAGCGCTACTCCTCACCTCTGCTGATGGAGGAGGAAGTGGTGTCTGGGCCACAGAACAGACTGTATTTGGATGTGTTCGAGGCCCCCAGGACAAAAGGTGCCTCTGGCTGGGTTTTGGCTGTGCTGGACTCTTGGCTGTCTGGGTTCAGGGGCTGCTGGAGAACATGATGTGCCCCACTGACTCCTCACTAAGTATCTGCAAAGCCTTGACCAGGTCGGGAATAAATCTTCGTTTCACAAGGTGTGTATCGGACATAGGGGATCACATGGTCTGTCTCCTACACACACACTGGCACACAAATGTCCTGCAGCAACGGTGTGTGAGGCCTGCTTCACATCTCTTCCACATCCGTGTGTGAAAGTCATGGCTTGCAGTTTGTCCATATTTTCAGTGAAGACGTGAGAGCAATGAATTGTTTCCTGCCTGCACCAGTGAACCCATTCAGTACGGGTATTAACTGAGGGCTGTGAACTGTTATCCACTGAAAGAATTGCACAGCTGGACCTGACTCAGAATACACACTTTGGCTCCTGGCCAATCCACACACCAACGCAGAGTTATTAAGTGCAACAGAACACCTCAGTTGTGACTGTGCACAGTGCTTCGTCTGGGATATGCTTCGGGCTTGAACTCAGCGTAGAATAACACAACAGAAGGAGAAAATATGCTAATCATTCATTTAAGAACCCTTAAGCTAGAAATACCCACCATAATATTTTGATAGTATTCGAGTGATGTACAAGCCATGTGCTCAATGCTGCTGATGAGAGAGTGAAGCAGTAGAGCCATTTCAACTAAAGTCACACATATGTCCAATGTTGCCTGTTCTTGATACATTCCTAATAACCGTGATCTTAAGAACCACATGTAATACAGGTGATACTGATTTAAAACAAATTGTAACCTAAACACAATATGTTACATTTGGAAATTGGTTCACCCTACTTTCGCAAGCATCCCTTACAGAAACTGAATGACTTAAATCGATTACTATATGATCTATTATAGTTTTTGAATTGCCCTGTTACTGATTAGAATTTCTTCCAGTGAGCAGGAGATTATGTTCCTATTGCCAATGGCAGTTAAAAAACAAATAATGTTAACGCTTTGAACAATCAATTTCATGCAGCACCCTGATTAAGTAAGAAATTACAGATTCCTCTATCTTGATATCTTCTCCCTAAAACTAGCTTTCTATTGGTCTTCATCTAGATTTAGAGCTTGTACTATAGTAAATGAATGGGACACTACAGTTTTAAAGAAGACTCTATTGCCCTAATCAATTCAAATCAGTCGCATTCATATAGTAATCACTCTTAATACATCTTGCAAAGGCAGCTACGTTTTGACTTGTGCACAGTTTAGCCATACTAGAAACTCTAAGGACGGCAATCTAGGTCTGTTCTTCTAATGTTTGGTCACTTGGTCAGTTTATCCTCCACTTTGGTCAAGACCTTTTCTCTAGTATCACCATAAGGTTTTTTTTTTTTTCTCTTTCTCATAATTCTCTGGACTTGTACTCAACTTCCTGTAGACAGTGGGCTGTTCTTTCATAGATTCATAGCTCTCCTTTTATATCAAATGACCAGTGCTGTCATTGGCACGCCTGGCCAATATTTTTTAACATTTGTCTGATTTCCTCAGCTCTAGTGATCTTGATCATAGTAACAGAAGCCCATTTTTCTCTCTTATACCCTTATGGACCTCTAAATAAAAGACAGGCCAGGCTGAGAGCCAGTGTCCTGGAATGGGACTAGTAAAGTTACTGTTCTGTGCTAGAAGTCATAGCAAAGCCTGTAGTGCCAGGTTGGGGCTTTTTGTGTCGGGGTAGTGATTTCCTCAAAAACTGGTAGAATCATTTTCACAAAATTGTGTTAGATAAAAACAGATCTAT